TTCATCAAGATGGTGGATGAATCCACAACTTTTTCTGACAGAAGAGTACACTCCTACGCATTCTCTTTTTCCTTACTGACATAACCTTGATTTTATTTGGGGTGACTGTGTAGTTAGGTAAAAAATTGTACATTCCAGTCTCCTTTGCAGATAGGGTGGCTGTGTGATCCCGTCTGGCCGCTGAGGCAAAGATCAGATGCAGGAAGGATTTCTGGGAATGTGGGGAACCTCAGATGCCTCCCGTTCCTGTTACATGTCCTGCCGCATCTTCCTCTCTTTCCTTTCCTCCCTGCTCATGCTCCCTGGAGGACACGATGGCTGGAGTGGCAACTGACATCTTATAATGCGGAGGCAAAGGCTGAGGAAATCATGGAAGCCTTGCCCTGCAATTGTTTACATCTGCACTTTGTTACATGAGGAAACAAACACAAAGGCTTTTTAACAACTACTGTTTCACTTAGTGATAACTGAAAACAATTCTATTTGTTACAGACTGCAGAAGAAAGAAACCTTGACGGCTAACAGAAATATGATTGTCTATAAAAAATCAAGTGAATCTATAATCACATTTTTTGAAATAATAAAAGTGTTCAGCAATATATTAATAGTCTATAAAATCAATTGCTTGTCTATGTATCATCATCAATAAACTCAGAAAATGTTTTTGAAAAGGTATAACATACAAAAGAAACAAAATATAGGGTGTCTATGAGTAAATCTTATGAAATATGTATAGAATCTTTATGGAGAAAATTATAAAATTATTAAAAGGAATTTAAAATTTTTTAGTAAATAGATAAACTAAATTTATGGATGCGAAAACTCAAATTCACGCAGAAATTGACATCCCCTTTTGTACTATTCTCCCCACGTTAATGTATAAATTAAATGTAATAAAAATTATGAGAGAATTGTGTGGGTGACACTTGCCAAGTTATTCTAAAATTTATGAAGAAGAGAAAAAGCCAGGAATAGCCATGAAAATTTTGAAGAACAAGGTTAGAGGACACAACTTACCACATTTTACTATTTATTATAAAACTATGGTAATTAAGGCAGTATGGCACCAGTACAGGAAAAAGTATGTAAGCCAAAGGAACAGAACAGAGATCCAAGAAACACACCCATGCATATGAAAACCTGTGGTACATTGCAAATCGCTCAAGAAAGGATGATTAATGATGCTAGGGCAATTGGTTATCAATGAGGAAAAAAATTGGATTCCTATTTTATATCGTACACAAAAATCAATTTCATGTGAAAGAAAGA